CAAAGGTTAGAATAAGAAGCTGCAAAGCACTTGCCAAGCCAAACTTGCACCAAAAAAAGTCATGGTCACTGTTTGGTGGCCGGCTGTGGTCTGATCCACTACAGCTTTCTGAATCCCTGTGAAACCATTACATCTGAGAAGTATGCTCAGCAAATCAATGAGATGCACTGATAACGGCAACATCTGCAGCTGGCATTGGTCAAGAGAATGGGCCCAATCCTTCTCTATGACAATGCCTGACTGCCCATTGCACAACCAACTCTTCAAAACTTGAATGAATTGGGCTACAAATTTTGCCTCATTTACCATATTCACCTGACTTCTCACCAACTGACTACCACATCTTCAAGCATCTCAACAACTTTTTGCAGGAAAATGCTTCCACAACAAGCAGAATGCAGAAAATGCTTTCCAAGAGTTTGCTGAATCCCAAGGCAAGGTTTTTTTAATGCTACAGAATAAGCACGCTTATTTATTGTTGGCAAAAATGTGTTGATTGCAATGGTTCCAACTTTGATTAATAAAAGTGTGTTTGAGCCTAGCTAATAATGATTTAAATTCAGGATCTGAAACTGCAATTACCTTTGCAGCAATCTAATATGCCTCCACATCTAAGTTCTTCATTTACTCTAATCTTCCATATTCTGTTTCTGTCTCATTATAATACTGAATTGCCACACTGACCACCAAACTACTTAAACCAGAGGTATCTATATGGTTTGTATCATATATGACCTGATTGACATTATTCACTACTCACGGTTCCTAAAAAGGTTTTCATCTTTCAGTTCCTTAAAATCATGGCATTCTGATTCTGTTGCTATGCCTTAGATCACTTGCTTAAAATCTCCTAAGTGGCCAATAACTGTTTATTTAACAATAGTGAGCAGTGTCAAGAAATTGATTTAAGGAATGAGAGACCTGAGTCTATCTAAATAAGCAGGATAGGGTCAGTAGAAAGGAAAAAGTTAAAGATGTAAGGAAAAGAGAATATTTAATAAAATAAGGACCTGACAAATGAGAAAAAAAGGAATTTCAACATGGCAGGAGAAAAAAAGCATAAATTGAGCATTCTCTATCTTGAAGTAGGAAATAGTCTCAATGCCTATGATAATTAAGGTAGTAATACTTTGTCAAAACATTAAGCATACGGAAATTAGTCAAAAAAGAATTTGAGACATATAGCCCAGTGCTGTGCTCACATGTTTAGCTTCAGAGCCAGTTTGTCAGTTAATAAAAAATACCAGGCTAAAGTGTGAACATCTGTAGATATTCCAGGTCCCAAAGAATAGAAAGAAATGAACTAGGAAATAGACATCAGAATAAACAGCCATGAATAAGTGACTATTTTCAAACAGTCTTCAAAATGCTTCCAGATTTTTTATCTCCTTGATACAGTTTTGCTCTGTGTCCCCACCCAAGTCTCATGTTGCACTATAACCCTCATTGTGGATGTGGGCCTAGTGGGAGGCCCACTTCCACACTGGATCATGGGGGTAGTTTTTCATAAATGACTCAGCACCCTTAGTGCTGTTCTCGTGACAGAGTTGTCATGACATCTGGTTGTTTAAAAGAGTGCAGAACCTCTCCCTTCTCTCTCGCTCCTGCTTTGTATCATATGCTTGCTTCCCCTTTGTCTTTGTCATGACTACAAACTTCCTAAGGCCTCTTTAGAAGTAGAAGTTGCTATGTTTACCATACAGCCTGCAGAACCATCTTGAATTGCTTCTCTGAAATGGGCTTTACTTTTCTACCACATAGCCAGGCTGCAAATTGACAAAATCATGATGGATGTAACTGGGTAAAGGATACAGAATATTCTTCGTATTATTTCTGTAACCTTTTAAAATATAAATTTGAATTTAATTCTTAAATATTGAATAGAAACAATGGAAAAAAGAAATAATCATTGATAAAAGTGAACTGTAAGAGAGTTCACGTATCCAGAAACGTCTCAGGAAAGGTGTTTTTTCGTGAAAGTACAGTTGAGTTGCAAGAATAAAGAAGTAGAATGTCAACTCTAGCTGGCTTCAGTGATGTTTGTGATGTGGCTGAACACACAGCCTCATTTTTCTGTAAATTAGAGAGAAGCTCTATAGAGCTATCATTCTGTGACCAACCACATATTATTGATTTTTAAAACTGGAATTGACCATGGCATTCCATGGGTCAGGAAGAATTACCAAAGGCATTAGTAAAAAATCTAAATGAATCAGATACATACAAAAACTAGCCATTACTTCTCATACTGACATGGAGCATACCTATCTCTGTTTTTATTTATTTATTTTTCTATCTGTTTTTAACACTAAACATGTTCACGTTAACTGCTGTTTCAAGACACCTTTTCTTTCATAATTTAGCAAAAGAAATACGAACATGCAAAATATTGATGTTTCTTAGGCAAAGTACAAACAGATCAGTGACGTTCATAATTTTGCTTTTAAATATAAATTAATAAGTGAAAAAAGCTAATAGAATTATCAGACATGTTCCTTAAAGCAGAAACTCCAGTGTTGTGCATTTTATGCTTTTTCCTTTAGGTGCTGTCCATTTGAATGTAAATCATTAATAAATTATAATTGGAAATTACTGGAAGTGTTTATAAAAATATCTGCCAGGTCTAGTTATTCATTGGATAATAGTTAATATTTATGCTAATTTTACTCATTTGCTCAGTATGGCAGGATCAGAAAAACAAATCTATTCACAGTTTAACTTATAAACCCAATCTGTCTCCTTTCACTTTCATAATGTTATCCATTATCATTATTTTAATAACTTCACTAACCAACATTCCTTTTTAATTAAACTAAAATGTGTCCAAGCACTTTAAAAAAGAAGAATATGCATGATAACAAGCACTGCAAAGCAGGAGAGTTAAATCCAAAATATTAATCTTAAATTATATGACGATAGAGATTATGTGTTTTATTCTTTCAAAAATTATATTACCATATCAGATTTAAATTCCTGGAAGGATGATTAAGAGTTAGCTTTACATTTGCATATCAAGTTTTACTTTTTAGAACACATTTATGTCTATTATATTTTTTGAGTCCCACAATAGTCAAAGATTATTATCATGGAATTTTTGAAAGTAGGAAACTAGCTGGTGGTAACTACAGCCAAGAGAGGTGCACAAGGATTGGGAGATTTGATGAATAAGAAACTTGTCTTAAGAACACATGTATATAACTCCTTGTCCTGAATTTGCTGCACTTATATCCATGGAGACTTCTGCCAAGAATTTAGTGTTCACAAATCAGTTTCATGATTTTTTAGCAGTTATAGAGAATAAAGTGTTGGCAGTCAAGAGCACACTCATACTTCAGAAATATTGTAAGGGACATAATGCATATTATATAAATGTATGTTGCTGATATATTGATTTTTTCCCACAATACCAATACTAAGCATGTGGTGTGGGCAAGACTCATTAGACCCACTGCATAAATGAGGAAACGGAAAGGCACTTAAGGGTAAGTAATATTGAAGAAAACATCAGCAGATAAAATAGATGTTTCAATTGTGTTCGTTCTACACCTATATAAAATGTGCCTTTCTGATTTCATTAAAAGCTGTTTCATTGCACCAGCCTTGCTCAAGCTATTTTCACAAAAACCATATGACAAATAAAATCAAATTTCATTCGTCTGAAATGAGGTGGGGTCCTATTTATTAAAAATACCACTCTGACTTCCAGGGTGTACCCAAAGCTATGTAGTTCAAACTTTTAAATTTCACACAACTTTATAATTCTGTTAGCACTGTTAACTTTGAAAACAGACCTGTTTTCATGATGATTATGGCCAACTTCCTAAAATTGACTTATAATATCTTTGGGAGGATGTGTGCTGTAGCAGGAGCACTGGAGTCCTATAAACATGTTATATATTTCATTTCAACTAGCTATGTGATCTTGTACAAGTTACATAAACTCTTGGATTGTTAGATCCCTGATTGGTTAAAATTTAATTTTAACTCCAAAATCTTTGATTCCAAGCTGCAGTTTGAAATCAGACCCAGGAAACTCATAATTTGATTAACTTTATTCTCCCTTGATTCTTTCAGTAGTTCATGCTGACCTATCAACATGTGATTGCTGATCAAATCAATCCCTTACACATTTAAATGAAGACATTTCTCTTGTGATATTTTCATTTGAGCCTTTTGTCTACTGATTGGTGATTATCCAGCATAGGAAAGTGAAAATAACCTTGACTAAGGATCAAGAAACATAGGTTCTATACTGGACTCTGACTGAAAAGTATTCATTTAATTTTTTTTTTTCTTTTTCTTTGTTTCTTTTTGAGATAGGGTCTTGCTCTGTCACCCAGGCTGGAGTGTAGAAGTGTGATATCTCGGCTCACTGCAACCTCTGCCTTCCCGGTTCAAAGGATTCTTTGCCTCAGCCTCCCAAGTAGTTGGGATTACAGGAATGTACCACCACCTGGTTAAGTTTTGCATTTTTAGTGGAGACAGTGTTTCATCATGTTGGCCAGGCTGGTCTCAAACTCCTGACCTTAGCTGATCCACCCACCTCAGCCTCCCAAAGTGCTGGGATTATAGGTGTGAGCCACTGCATCTGGCCCATTTAACTTTTAGGAATCACAGTGCCTTTAGGTATGAAGAGTAAGTACAAAATATGCATTTTGGCAGGCGTGGTGGCTCATACTTGTAATCCCAGCACTATGGGAGGCCAAGTTGTGCAGATCACTTGAGGCCAAGAGTTCAAGGCCAACCTTGCCAACATGCTGAGAATAGCTTGAACTTGTGAGGCGGAGGTTGCCGTGTGATGGAATTGCACCACTGAACTCCAGCCTGGGTAACAGTGTAAGACTCTGTCTCAAAATATTAAATAAATAAATAAATAAATAAATGCATTCTGCCTACATGAGGAAAATACAAAAAACTAAGTTGATTCTTAAGTTCTGAACAAGTGAGTTTACAGGAGAATAATGAACAGCACAAACAACACCAGTGCATTCCTACTTTACCTGATGGGGAGATGTGTCGCCAAGAAATGGAAGGCTCTGGTTTCCCAGTGGCCAAACAAGTAAGTGTGACGTTGGTTCCTTCGTTGATGGTCATATCATTTGAGATGTCATATATCTTAGGAGGAACTGAAATGACAAACATGCAGTGGTCAGAAAAAATATATATAAACTTTTTTTGAACTACATATGATTAAGTCCATAATATCATGCAAGAAAGGTATGAGGGTGAAATGTATTTATGGCCTAGGGTCCTCACCTGAAATATGGATTCTCTGGAACCTCAAGACTTTCTAGAATTTTTTTTCTCTAATATTTAGATGGTAAATACCTCAGGAAAAATAGAGTACTTAATAACAAAACTGTTTGAACATTGATTAAATTAAGTATGTATTATGAATTATTTGTATTAAGTAAACTAGAATATAACCAATCTATTTTATCCATGGATCCTCACTGTAATGACGATTTTCTTGTCAAAATGGTTAAATAAGAGTAAGTATAGAAGAAACTTAAAATAGCAGAACCGTTATTTCTACATGCTGATTTAAACGCTGAGTGAGTTAGGACATATACATAATTGGGAGGTAAGATTTCATCATCACAAAGGTATTTTGGGTTTCAATTTTCTCTCTGCCAGGTAGTAGAGCTAACAGAGCTAGACATAAATTCTAAGGAGTGTGAAAGGTAGATACAATAACGTTTTCTTATCAGTAATGACTGGCAAACACTGGTTGAAATAGATCACTTCAGGACTTCTCAGAACCTTTGTTATGCCCTTTTGCACTGTAAATCCACAAGAGTCAAGGGGGAAATATTATATTTTCTCTGATGTATTAGACTGCAGAAGTTTTTATCCCAGAATTTAATTACGTAATACATTTGGGAAATGGAGAGAGAAGTCTCTAAACTAACTTCCAGGATTAAATTTCCATATTCTCTGGGAAACCAAATGTCTCACTGAATCTTCAAACAGCATGGGTATAAATCTTTGGTTCTCTATTGGCTAACTGCATTATTTAGGGTAAGTTATTTATCTCAGCCTCAGTGTCTTTATCTGAGAGTTGGAGACAGCAATACTACATGTCCTACCTGGCTGCTATAGAGACTAAGTAAGTCAATAGGTGTTAAAGGACTTACAAAAGCACCTGACATCAGTGTTAGTTATTATTATTAGATGTCATTAAATACATATATCATGTCTGAATTTCATTTTAGTAGCACCCTTTACCTATGCCTTAAAATTGTTCTCAGAAATTCTTCACTTTTGTAGTGTGTATGAGTGACCTATGCCATAAATAAGTTTGAGCTGCTTTATAAAAATTATACTATGTTACTATTCCAGGTGAAATATAAATAAATGGCAATTACACACCTTGGTAATCATTAGAAAAATAAGATTTTTACTAAAATATTTTTAATTGTTCCCTTCTTTGAGTTTCTTTATGCAAGACATATGTTTTCACAGTTATATTTAAAGCTCGTAACTAACATCTGAAGTGATGACAAATTAAATTACCCATACTTTGAATTTTGTTTTGACTTTTTTATGGAACCAAAACTCAGCCACACACACACACAAAATCAAAAATGGTATGATTACAAATATAAAAGTGGTGTTTGATTATGTGTAACTGTTGATATGACTGAGGAGGAGGCTTGTTCCTAAGTAATATACCATTGTAACTGTTTCTAAATGACATAGTTTAATTGGCATTTAAAACACATTATCATCAAACTCTTCAGTGAGATTTTCTCAAGCAAATAATAAAAATTTTAAAACCATCCCAAACAAAGGGCTCTTTTTATCTTAACTGAAACAGAACAGAAATAAAAACATTAAAATACCCTAGAAGGAAAGAAAAAAAAATGTGCATGACACTGGTAAATATGAGCATTAATAATAATAAATTGATAACATTAAACTAAAAGTATATTTTAGATATCTGGCTGTAGATATAGGTTTGATTTACAACTGTAAAATATATTTCTATATATATTGAGAGAGAGACAGATATACACATATAGATGGTCACTGACTTACATGGTTCAATTCTGTTTTTACTTTATAATGGTGTGAAAAGATACCCATTCTGTAGAAACCATATTTTGAGTACCAGTACAACCATTTTGTTTTCATTTTCAGTATAGTATTTGATAATCTACATGAAATAGTCAACACTTTATTATAAAAGAGGTTTTTATAACATGATTCTGCTCAACTGTGGTTAAATGTTCTGAGCACATTTAAAGAAGGTTAGGTTAAGTTATTTTAAGTGTATTAATTGCATTTTAAATTTACACTAGGTTTATTTGGATGTAACCTTATTATAACACATGGTGCATTTGTATTAATATACATATATATATGCAAGTATATGCATATATAGCAGTGCCCACTATTTAAAATATTATATTGTACTTTTTTCCTTTATAGAGAAGATAGTATGTAGGGCTCTTAATCTTGCCTAGCTACTTTGCTTATTTATTTAAAACATAACTGATTCAAGGTTGGACAGAGGTATGTATATGAAGAGAAATAATGCCATAAGAACATAAAATCTATCTTCAAAATCCCATTGTTTTGTCAATACTGTCTGATTACAAAACAATTTAGTGGGATCTTTACACATTTACATATATTTAAAGTGCTAAACTTTATGCTAAACTAATATTCAGCACTAGTATTTGACTACATAGAGAAACAATTAAGTCCTTTAGCTATAAACTTAGATTTGACATTTAACTATAGGAGATTGTATAGTGTGGGAAGAGTGGTAAATTCCAGGTGTGACATGTCATTCTCAGTGATTACAACTGCCTTCAGAGCATACAAATCTGGAAAGAGGATGTTAGTAAGAGAAAATCCCTCTGGCAAGGCTCCTCTCCCCAAAATGCATCACCTGTTGGCAGCAGATGCAGTGCGTAAGAGGGCCAGTGAAATCTTCCACATGCACAGTGGCTTATGGAGACAAAAACAGGTGTTGCTTTGCTGAATATGCAAAACTATTGCATATTCAGTTTAAAACTTCCAACTTTTACTAACTATTATGAAGGGAATAATTTTGGATCCAAAGGAAATGCAAAAGTTTAAAGGCATAACACTTCTCAAGAAATTTAAATTAAAAGAGAGAAGCAGATAGGTAAGCAAATAAGAGAGGGCAAATATTTTCCACATTTTCCTTTCCCATTTTACAGGAGTAATACAAGTTCCATAGGTATACCTTCTGGGTTCAAATAAATTAATTTTGTGTTGGTTTATTTTCAAGTTAATTATGAGGAATCGTTTATGCACAAAGTTATTGAGTGCAGTGCTATTTATAATAGAGGACAACAATTTTTTTTTGAGACTGAGTCTTGCTCTGTCTCCCAGGCTGGAATGCAATGGCTCAATCTTGGCTCACTGCAACCTCTGCCTCCCAGGTTCAAGTGATTCTCTTGCCTCAGCCTCCCAAGTAGCTGGGATTACAGGCACCTGCCATTGTATCCAGCTAATTTTTGTATTTTTCAGTAGAGACGGGTTTTGCCATGTTGGCCACGCTGGTCTCAAACTCCTGACCTCAGGTGATCACCCAACTCAGCCTCCTAAAGTGTTGGGATTACAGGTGTAAGCCACCACACCTGGCCAGGAAAACGATCAATAACCTCAAGGTAGATTATTAATATGCGCTGCAGAAATGCTGGTATATGGAATTGGTCAATTGGATGATGATAACCATTGTCAGCTCTGTCGTCAGAATAAGGTATGGTATTGAGAAGGGTTTTGGATGGTCCCAGGGTGCATCACGCTATGGGGAAATGAAAGAGAGAAGAGATCATTCTACCCTAGACACAGGGGAAGGGAAAAACAATAATGTTTCAGGCTTCTGCAGATGATCAGTTCTGGTAGCCATTCTTGGGTTAGTTACAATTTGTATATAAATGATGCATACACACATGTGGAAAAGATCCTTGATCTTTCTGAGTGTTTGTCATGTCTTATATGTCCAATATTCTAAGCACTTGCATAGTAAAAACAAAAACAAAAAAAAAGAGGAGAGTTAAAAATAACTTAGTATTCTAGATGTGTGTTCCTTTTCTATATATCTTATTTCAGACTCCCTCACATTCTTTTCTAAATACTTAAAGTAATTTGTGCAGAAAGGAGCAGATATATTTAATCAATTCAACAAATTTTAACCTATTAAAAACTACAGACTTTAAGAAGTATTTTGAATTGTCATGCACTTTAAGTGCTTATGATCTAGGGCAGAGTTAAAACGAAATATATTATTCATCTAAGTGTAAACTCAATTAATATGCTGGAAATAATTATTATAATGTCATCTTCACTGTCTTCATCATATGACACCATAAATAAACAATGAAAAGGCACAGTTTCTAGATTTCATACTAAATCACAGAATATCTCTCTCCTAGTGAAAGCCTAATTAGGGATATGCAAGACTTTACAACTCTGTTCATAATTAATTGTTCTGTATTACCAGTTAGAGAGATCCAAGATCACTGAAAGCTTTCTGAGCAACAGTGGTTGAAAGTAGATTTAAAGGTTGTATTGAGTGAAATATATTTTAAAACCTTCATGTCCATTTAAATGAACTACTCTTGGTCCCTTACATTCAAAACATGCTTTGCCTTTAACTGTTCACTGGTCTAAAATTTCACTACTACTTAGCACCTGGTCTTCAACTACTAGTTAGTTGGTTCCACAGTGAGGAGATAATGCATATTTACATGTATCTACATATTTAGATTCTCTAAAGATTACTTAGATCTCATGTTAGTTTCACATTCACCAAAAAATTAAGCAATTTGACTTACTACACCCCCTTCCCTCTTCTGAGCCATCTGTGGAGTGTCTTCAGGCAGGGTATGAGTCACCTTCAGTAAGAAAAATCTTAGAATGAATATCCAAACCAGATTCTAATGACCTTCACACAGGCTACCAATTTGGATTATTCTCCACTATTTGTATGATAATGAGCAACTGAGTTTATGAGTGCATGGCAATTTTTTTTCTTTTAATGTGTACCTATTTTCTGATCTAAAGAAATAAATTATTTTGTTTGTTTAATGAGCAGTCTTCAAAGATTTAATTTTAATTTCTTTCAAGAATTCATCATGCTGTC